AAAAAGTTCTCATCTATAAATGTGTTCTTGTTTTTTAAAAAAAGTTCTCACTAGAACCCTCCTCAAACAGTTATTGTTAGTTTTTGTTGTTTTTTATATAATGAATAATAATGAGATAAACTAATTATAGTAAAAAATACCATTCATATTTTAAATATTACTACATAGTAATTACTAATTAGTATGGATGGGTCTCTACAAAATAAAATGGAAGTGTTTTTTAAATGCATGTGACTAAAAAATACACACAACATCCAAGTCTGAAAAGCGGAGTTTGAGTCTGACTAACATAAATCATTATGTGACATCAAAGTTAAAAATAATAAAAAATAATAAATGGGGCAAAGGGGAGACAAACAAAGTCAGATCAATCATTCTTTTTAAAGTCATACTCTCATTTTATCCAAAAAGTACATATCATTCTTCACCACCCCATTTTAAGCCACGTCTCTCTAGGTCACCCCCTGTCTCATGTCTGCCTACTATATTCGTCTCTCAATTCACCTAATATGTGCATCACTTAGCCTTCTACACCTACACATGACCAAATCACAACAATCATGACTCTTACATATTATCTTTAATAGGCACTGCTTACATTTTTGTGTGATTGTCTCACTCATTAAGTGATATTTTCTATACAATAACATAAATTAAAAATTTATTTCAACAAATATAAAATGCAACATTTTTGCAGGAATTAAAAACAGATTTTTGTCAACAAATATTTGTAACTTGTGACTAATCTAGTATTTGATTTTCTATTGTGAAATATTAATGTGAATCATGTAATACAAAATCTAATAGAATAGAACGCTTATGTACTCTTGCCACTTGGACGTACGTAAAAAATAGACATTGAGGTCCTAAAATTTAAGTGTATGGTCTAAAATATAATTTCAGTTTATAGAAGTTCGGTTGGGTCACCTGCTAGAGCCACTACAACTCTAAACTAGTTAAACTCTTCAGAAAAATAAGTTATAAAAAGGATTTTGTGTAATCATGTCAAGCAGGGATGGATTTAGGGGGGGCGCGGGGGGCGACCGCCCCCTTGGACTTTCTAAATTTTCTACCATATATGTAATATTTTCATAAAACTTTCATAATTTAATTAGATTCGCCCCCCTTAGTTTTTAATTTTCAAAATTAATATATAGTGTTACATAATGTAATACTTAATTGAAGATTTAAAAGAAAGAACATCTAAAATAATTACATAACTTAAACAAATAAACAATAGAATAACTCGTTGTTTAAGATTTAGGATACTTATTATATAAGAATTCCTAGTTTTGTAATGTTTAATTATCTTTATTAGATAACAAGTACTTGATTTTGTAAAATATATATCAAACAATATTAAATATCAGACACACTAATTACACAGTTTTTAAATCACGTGAAATGAATCCAAAATATAAATGTTTATTGACATTAAATTACATAATTCATTTACTTCTTGCTTTCTAAAAATAATTTATTGCATAGATAATAAACGTTAAATTATTATAGCATTAATACAAATATTAAAATATAATATGCACCATATATGTGTGTGTGTGTATGTGGTGCATATTATTCTAAAAATAATAATATCATACATACTACTATTGTAATATTAAGAAAACTTCTCATGAGTCATGACTCACGAACACCCTCCTTGGTGGCCGGACAAAAATTACAATTCAATAATAACCGATTCATGAGGTTAAACAATGTAGAAGTTATTAAAAATGTATTGGTTGATGTCTTTGTCATCGTCTAATTTAAACTTAGAATGTACTACTTAATAGATTTAAATGTCGTTGGGGATGTGTATGTATTAATGCCATTTTTTGAATAAAATTAGCCGCATAGCCCTACAATAGCGGAAAAAATTCGCTCCGCTATACTAGGGAAAAAAATTTCACCCTACTACACTAACGAAAATTTTTTCACCACCTACACTACCGAAAAATTTCGCCCCCCTTGAATAGAAATCCTGGATCCGTCCCTGATGTCAAGTAATCCTGACGAGAAGCCCATCCCAACTTGTCTATTTGAGTGTTACTGAATTTTTTTATGATATTTTGTGAGTATGTTCATCATGAAGTATATATACTCCCTATAATATAATGTCTACACAATTTCAAATTAAAATCTAATCGGAAATGTAGTTAAATAAATTATTGAAAAACAATGCGCCCAAAATATATATGAATTTCCCTGTTTTTTTTGCCACAATTATATTGTTTTTAGTAAAGCTACATATATATACTCCGAACCTTCGTCCAGCCACCGCCGTTTGGGGTAGGGATGGACTCGGGCCGGGCCAACCGGCCCAGAACCAGACCGACCCGCTACTGTGCGGGCCCGGACCGGTGAACCGGTTAGTGCCCGGTTCGGGCCACTCGGCCCGGTGATATAGCAGTCCGGGCCCAGGCCTGCTATTTAGTGAACCGACCCGGCCGGTCCGGGCCTCAACGGTCAGATTTTTTTAAAAAAAATTAAATTATTAAAGGCTATAATAGCCATTGGGAGTGTCCCAAACGGCTCTATAGCCGTTGGGAGCATAGGAGGGGGGTCTGGGGGGTTGGGGTTGGGGGGTTGGGGGTGGGGTAAATTATAAATCAAACCACTTTTCTAAGTAAAAATAGTTTTACTTACTTAATTCATTAAACTAATTAACTTATTTTACAAAATGTTTAATTTTCAAAAAAAAAAAACATTTTAAATTAGCTCCCAAATGGCTATATAGCCGTTGGGGCTTAGGGTGGGGGGCAGGGGGGGGTCCCGGGGGTGGTGGTGTGGGGGTGGGGTTCAAAAAAATCTATAAATACATCTATTTTCTACCATTTTTCTATACCTCTTCTCCAACTCTTCTCCATCTTCATCTTCTCTTATTATCCTACATTTCTACAATTCTACTTATACATCTACCATTTTAAAGATGGAAAGTAATTCTTCTTTTATGCAAAACAATTTTGATAAGTGGAAGGACCCGAAGACCGGACTGTAGTGGGCAACTTGCAAGTGGTGCAAGAGAGAGTGTTGTTTGGGCGTTCACATGAAGTCGGGATGCCAATAAAACATATGAAGTCATGTGACAAAGGCAAAACAACAACCAACGTGGCGGAAATCCCAATTGATATTTATTAGAAAATGTATTTAATATTGCTATTTTTTTTCTCAATTCTCAAATGTACTTCCTATTTCAAATAAACGCACTTGAATTTTGTTTTTAATAAGAATTATTATAATAATATAATATATAAATTTTTTTAAAAAAAAGCCCGGTCCGGCGGGCGGCCCGGCCCGTGAACCGGGCGGGTGACCCGGCCCGAACCGGACCCGGGGGTTACCCGGGCCGGTGCCGGGCCTCCCATTTCCTGAACCGAGGCCCGGCCGGTTCAAGGCCCGAACCGGGCCCGGCCCGACCCGAGTCCATCCCTAGTTTGGGGCGGTTCCCAGTGGAATTTCTTGAATAATTTTTTTGAGCATCTGTTCTTAATCAAGTTTAATTTATGTCAACCAAATTTTAGATAAGAATTTAATCGGGAAGACAGTCATATGTAATTTTAGAAAATTTTAGAAAATTTTAGCTGCGACTCCTAGTTTCCTTAGACATAGATTTGGAGCTGATTGTAATTTGTTTGATTCTACTTAATGAAGTTCATGTTTTTTCCTATAAAAAAAGCACCCCACTCCCACACTAGGTCACTTTATCAACATACTAAGAGCATCTCCAATGCTAAAACGTTAACGATACATACATGGCATGAGAGATAACCAATCAAAAAACAATAAATAAAATATATCTCTCCTTATTTGAAGGATCTTATATCATTTTGGTAAGTTTTTCTTCATAATGTCAAGCACAATGTAGATGTAGACATTGCGGTTGACATTGCAGGAAAAAACTTACCAAAAACACATAAGACCGTGGAAAGACGGGGAGAGAAATGTCATAAAATCAATCTTTTGTGTCTATCTCTCTCATGCCACATGTGCACCGTGCACATTGTAGCATTGGAGATGCTCTAAAGAACTATGATGACATAGTGGACCTAGTGGTAGACCCAGTCAACAATCCCGAACTGGTCATGCTCCCCCTCAACATTGAGCCAAGTCCAGAAAACTGGTCCCGATGCAGAACTGGGTACCCGACTGGGTACCAAGCAATCCCAATCCCAAATTCAAATATTTGGGACCAAACCGGGCAGTTCCAGCCCCGATTTCAGTTATGGTCTATCCTTTTTTTAGTTTGCAACCAGATAAATAAATATAGCAATCCCAAGACCGGGACCAGACCGCCCTAGTATATGGCTGGACTCGGGCCAGTTCGGGCCTGGGCCCGGCCGGGCCTCGGGCCAAGAAAGGGAAGGCCCGAGCCCGAACCGCCGGTGGCCGGTTCCGGGCCAAACCGGCCCAATTTTTTTTTTTTTGTTCTCCTATTCAATCCCCTACCCCTCCCCCTCAACCCCAAACCACCTCAAATGGCCCAAAATACCTAATCCAACCTAAAACTTAAAAAAAATTCAAAAAAAGAAAAATTAAAATCCGGCCCGGACCGGGCCCGAACCGGCCGGGCCGGTTCACCAAAACCTGGGCCCGAGCCCAAACCGCCCAGCACCCGGGCCGGGCCAAACCGAACCGGTGGATCCACCGGGCCACGGGCCAGGCCGGGCCAAAGTGCCAAACAGTGACCGGGCCGGTTCGGTCCCGGGTCGGGCCGACCGGCTCGAGTCCACCCCTACCCTAGTACCTGAAACCAGCCCAAACCAAGAATATAGTGGTTCAGGCCCGGTCCTCTTCAAATAATTTTTAGGCCCAAGCAATCTCAGCCTTGGACCAACCCAGGTCCACCCATATGATGACATGATAGCATGGCATTGGACATCTAGAGTCTTTTGACCAAGCCCGATTGACTTGAGGGGATCAAATGGGTATGATCGAATCATCAAAGTAAGCTACATCAAGATATACTTGTCACATTTACATTTAAGTTTACCATATATAGGGGCGAATCCAGAAATTCGGATTGAATTGGGCTCAAGAGTAATTATACTAGGCTCAAATAGTAGAGGATGAGTTAAAATGTTAAATATGAAAAATTTAAACATGTACACTTAAAAAATTTACAATAAACCAATATTTTACCAACAAAGTTTTTCCTGAGGTTTGGATCCGTCTCCACGCTGCTAACAAAAAAATTGTAGAACTAAGATCCACTCATCAATCATCATTGTTCACGATATCTTTTCTGTTTTTCTATAGAAGTTCAAATTGCATTTTATTATTCTTTTTCTGTAAACAATTCCAGATTTTAATAAATTATTAGAAACACTTTTCTACATATAAAAACTCAGTATTACTATCTGTCCAAGTTATCCATTCAATCATCTTCGGATTTTTGATCATGAGGTGTTCCAGCAAGCCAGCCCCAAACACCGCCAGATCTTTGCCTTTGCTTAGCACTTAAGGCAGCTTGCTCTGAAGCAGCCGCTTTTTGTCTCTGGAGGAGTTCAAGTTCCTTTTGTAAGGTTTCCATTGTGTGAAGCTTTTGTCGTAGCTCCGCAACATCAACCTGTGTTTACTCAAACGTCAATTACTCATTCTTACTAATATGCTAGCTAGCAGAGTTTGAATGTGTGTGAAAAAATGGAATAGTAAAAAAAGCTTCTAATGTTCATCTAAGTTATTCTACTTGCCAGCTACAGAAAGAAACAAACAAATCCAGTAATATGACAGAAAGTCTAGGAGTAATCTTAACAAAACGATGACATGCATATATACCTCGAGTTTAAAACATCTTGACTGTTCAGATGCAAGTTGACCACGCACAGATTGGAGTTCCTGTAAAATGCAACTAAAGCATGATAACTCACTCCTTAATCAAAGTAATTTTTTTCTATTAGCTCAATTAGCATTAGCTTTAGGAAATTCAGAAAATGTAACAGTTCTGATTTCTGGCCAACCCATATACAGATATACTAACAAGAAATAAACCACGAAAACGGAACAGTTGGGTGAAAATAATAAGAAAAACTATAGATTCTGCAACATCATGGGAAGGGGAAGCAGGCCATACGCTTTTATGAATTTTTTTAGTTCATTGGTTCCTAATGACCGACTCTAACGAGGGACAGACAGTTACCTTGTAGAGGTCCGTGTGACGAGTCTCTGCATCTGCCAACTCTTGCTTCAACTGAAGAGTTTGCATTTTTTCTTTGTTGAGAGAAGACTCTAGTTCTTCCTTCTCTAGCTTGAGGGCTGATAAAACGTGTTCGTTAACCTCCCCAACCTTTTTCACCTGCATGATACAGTCAGCTCAGGTCCAAAAGGGGGTATAATAGAGAAAAAGGAGATGGCTTGTATCGGAGAATGAAATTCTGTATAAATGATCTAGTATAAGTAAATGAATGACTAGAGGTAAGTAGAAACTCTATATTGAGCATTAAAAACAAGTCCAATTGGTGTACTCCTAGTCTGCTACAGACAGAATCTCCCATGAGCAAAGTGATAGCAGGAATTATCAAAGCAAAGCAAGGACATGCCATCAAGTCTTTCAGCATTAAAAAACATACCATTGGCTGTGAATCAATGTTATCTATCACAATCTCCCTGATTTTTCCTTCTTGGCCAGTTTCAAATTCAGACTCTATATCTCTGGTTGCATTTGTTGCATTCTGCACAGCAGAAACACTATCCGGCACTGGAGTCTCCATCTTTGATTGCAAGGTCGATTTGTGGCTCGGTTTGAGTACATTGACCTTCAGATAAAGGCACTATGAGAAGGTATATATAGTGAAACTAAGGAAAATGATAAAAACATATTAAGCCTCACCTCATTACTATACCGGCCATTGTATCCACCAAAAGAAACAATAACATCTTCACCATTACAAGAACTCAAAGTCAGACTTGACCCCTTCAACAACGACAAGTCTTAATATCAAATCAAGAGATAAAAAGAGGGAAACTTCTCTCTATAACATGCACGCGTGATTATACATTTATACAATATTGGATATATAAATGGAATCCTGGTGCACATTGGTGTTCCAGCAAGTCAAGGGTCCGGGAAAGGTTCCACCACAAGGGTCCGTAAGCAGTGTGCCAAGACTCCCTTCAGTATCAGTTATATATGAGATAAAAAATATAAAAAAGTGCATGCAGTCTAGATGGAAGCAGCCCCATACTATACATAATTATATTATACTCAAAAGATGAGTGTGGCAGAGATGCGCATGATGCGTTGGATGTGTGGGCATACTAGAAAGGACCGCGTGAAGAATGAGACAATCAAACAAAGGGTGGGTGTAGCACCTATTGAAGATAAGATGCGGGAGTTGCGCCTACGGTGGTTTGGTCATGTGCATAGAAGACCGAGTGATGCACCTGTCAGACGAGCTGAGATGTGTGGAGAAGAGGCAGGGAAGAGAGGGAGAGGAAAGCCTAAACAGACGTGGGTTAGGGGAGTCAGAAGTGATATGCTTCTTCTTGGATTAGATGAGGGTATGGCTTTGGAGAGAGCAAGATGGAGGGCGGGTATTCGTGTGGAGGAGTGATCTTGTATCATCTTTTCCCCTCTTTTTTTTTTTAATATTTTTATCCTTATATATACATATTAGTTTATCCTTTTTATTTTATCTTTTATATGTATATTCATCTCCTTTATATTATCTTTTTCTTATAATAGCTTATCGTTTTTATCTTTATTTTCTTTCTTTTCCTTTTGGTGATATCATGTATCGATTCATGTTAGCCGACCCCAATATCGTTTGGGACTAAGGCTTGGATGATGTTGTTGTTGTAGTACTAAAAAAGGTGGTTTTAAGCCTTGAGGAGTTTTGTTTACATGAGGCGAGGCTTAAACCCCATATACAAACAACAACATCACTTAAAAACAAATTTAAAAGTATAAGTATGTGGAGACATAGTATATAAGGAAACATAAAAGCCACATATTTAAAATCTCATTACGCACTTGTCACAAATACAATTTAGAATTAGGGCAATTTTGACCGCTATGAAAGAAGTTAAATCAATACTAGGTGGCTATTCATTTCAGGCCGAATAGCGAGTAGGACCAATTACTCACTCACTAACATAATGAGGTCATTGATGATAATCGTGATGTTATAAGTGTATTATTTTTAAGATTTGATGATTAGTTTGTCATTTAAGAGCACTAGTTATTTCCTATAATAGAAATAAGGAGCTTTAGTCGGGACGTCCAAAAGAGTCAAATGAAAAGCTTAAACTGGGACGGAGGGAGTAGTGATGAGTACATATTTAACTAGATTAACTGGGGATTTTGGATCGGAATGAGGTGTATGTCCCCGTAATTTGTACTAAGCTACTCAGCTAGTACTCGACGATTAGATAACAAAGCTTGACAACATTCAAAACAATAAAACTCCAATAAATAAGCTGGGTGATATAACTATTTAAGTGGCAGATATATCTTAGGAAATTGACAGAAACGTAGGCCTAATATGACCTTCATTTAGAAAAATAAGCCCATAAGGCCATAACTGGATCAGAAGTTTTTTTTTCAAGGCCACAACAAACGCCTTGAAGTGTTAATCCCATAAGAACAAAGGTGCCTCAATCCTTTTACTTCAGGCTTGAATCTCCATACATTATTTACTACCTTAGTTACTACTCCCTTTGTCCCCTTTTTTGTCTCATTTTAGCTATTGGTCCGCCCCACTAAGTTCGTCTCGTACCATATTTGGTAAAATATGGATGGTTACAAACTTACAATTCATTCTTACTTTATTTACACTATCAATTTAATACCAATCAGGCAACCACACAATTCACTTTTCTCAATAACTGCACCACTCCCTTTTGTCCCAATGTTAGGGGATAGAGGTAGTACTTTACACTGAGGCGCGCCTCAAAGATACAACAACAACAACAACATCCAAGCCTTAGTCCCTCTTAAAAAAGAATTTAAAAGCAAACGAATGACACTAGAAGCACTTAAAAGATTATTGAAATGGTATAAGGTCAAATCTATAATTATGAGCAAATATAAATGTTCAAATGTAGTTTTAATCTCCACATTCAAATGAAGTACTACCTCTGCCCATTTTATGTGTCCTAAAGTTTGACACAATTATTAATAAAGTGGTTAAAAAGGTAAAAATTGTGGTTGAGATTTGAGTATAATAAAGTGAAATGTTGTAGATCACATGTTTCTTTCCAAAAAAACGAAGTGTGACAAGCATTTTGGGACAACCCAAAAAGGAAAGTAGGATAGGTAAAATGAGACAAAGGGAGTAGCACTTTTCCATCATTTCCAATGGAGCCAATGATTCACTATTTTTTGGCTTGGAAAAAATGGCTCACAAAACAGTTTGCGGTTCTTTGTTATGAAGAAGTAATCAGTCCATGCAATTTTCGACGCGATTTTCATCATGGGTCATTCGGAAACAGTCTATGTGCTTTAGTACGGGGGTGAGGCTGCGTACATCTGACCCCCCTTACGGGGCCTTACCCCACCATAGGTGGGGGCCTTTGTGGCATTGGGTTAATGTTGTTGTATTCAAATGAAGTAGCACAATACAAAACGGTGGAGGAAGGATGGTTTCACAAGTATAACAACGCTTGCAGGTCATAATACTGTTACTTCAGATACAAAAACATAGATTTTTGTGATAGCTAGCACCACAAACACTCCTGTTTTTAAATTACCTCGCTAGCCAGAGGAACACGTCCTTGAACATTAGTCACAACAGACCAAACTAATGTAGACATGTTAAGCACAACTGTTTCAGAAACCCCTGCAAGAAAACACATCATAAAAGCATCAGGTGAGGGCATAATGTCAACTCAAAAACATTCTAGTAGACATTTGCATTAACATGAAATTTTAAGGTCCCTCTATTACAGTCATGAGTCTTGAGCGGTGCACTGAAAAGCTAGTGTTGCACGTAAGTTTAGTTACTAACACTATAACTGTGAGATAAGAAGTAGCCATGATTTTGATATTCTACTTGATTAACTAACTTTGACGGTACAATTATAAAATTTACAAATACTTCTAAAGGAGTGTTAGCCGTTAGGTACTTCACAAGAGGTATTAAACTGTGGTGGAAAATGTAAGAAAAAGTGTCCACCTCAACACTGAAACAATGCATATGAAACACCAAGCTGTGGCACAGTGAGCATTTTGGAATTTCCTATACAAATTTTCAGCGCACCACAACAAAAGCTAAAAGAAAGGAGCCCTTAGTTGATTATAAATTTGTTGCTCTAAGCTACTAGTTTTTTGGAGGCCCAAGAACAAGGAGCCTACATTCAAAGGAACAGAAGCTACTAAGATAGTTCTTGAAAGGTATAGCCATACAAATAAATACCACTTCTGTTGTTGCCACCCCCAACAATAAACCAATTCTCTCCAACCGCTACACCAGCATGACCAGCCCGGGGACTAGGTATTTCACCTTGTTGAGTGGGTCTTGACCACTCCATCTACAAGATTAAAATGGTTTTCTAAACCAAAACGTAGAGAGAAAATATCCATTAACTTTTGGAATCGAATTTGGTATCACACCGTTTGCAAATCAAGCACATGTAGGTCATTAAAGCACGTGGCATGTGAGCCCCCACCAAAAATAAGAAGGTAACGCTCAGCATGTACTGCAGCAGCGTGATCAGATCTTGGAGAAGGAGAGACACCCCTACCAATAAAAAACAGTAGTACAACCACACAAATAACATTTAGTTTGATTATATTGGTATGCACTTGTGCATAATGTAAATGTGAGACAAAATGATTTCAACCTTAAACGAGTCACTGATAGGATCTGAAAATCAAGGGATATTTAAAACAAGTTACATTTCAGCACCCAGACGAATGTGCCCATTGGCGTCTTTATGAATATAGCTTGATGGGCACTAAAGCGCACCCAAACACTATAATATTGTTTCTTAATGAATAAGACATTTATTGGTGATGGGACTGATGGGCAAAAAACATGCTCTCAGGGAGTAGTAACATAGGCACAGATACAACATACACAAATCGGTACCATGGCCTCTTAAGATTCTAAACAGTTTTCGAACATGACAGAAGAAAATAATATCTGAAAAGGTTTAAAAAATAAAGCTTCTAAAAAAGTGCTTTTAGGAGTAATAACCTAGACAGCAAGCACAGTGCTGCACAGCCTCTTAAGATTCTCAGCACCAAACTATTTTAAAGCGAAAAGCGTCCAAAAGCGATGACCTTGGGCTTTGCTTAAAAGCGAAAGCGCTAAGCGAAGCGTAGCTTTCTCACAAAAAGCGATGCTTACAAAAATAAAAGAAAATATAATATATAATGTATAATTATGCCAAAAATACACATACATGTTTCACAAATATTTAATCGAGTCATCAAGCCAGTGTACAAAGACCAATTGAGGCTTATAACCAATACAAACTGGAAGAAACTACAAATTAGTTAATCAATAATAAGGAACAAACTGGACTGAAGTAAATCAAGCAATAAACTCAAAATTATTTCATCAATAAACTAAAAGGAATAAACTGGAATAAACTAAAATTAATTAATCAAGAAACTAAAATGAATAAATTGGAATAAACTTAAATTTAATTAATCAAGAATTCAGATTGATATTTTCGTAAGAAAATTACTACATTAATACTTGATAGAATAATAGGTACAATTACTGCCAAGAAAATGTAAGAGCAAGATTTTCAAAAAAAAATAGAGAGCTGCGGAATTTGAACTAAAATTCTGGATGAAAAGCTCTGGAGAACAATCTGGATGAATTAGAACAATCTGGAGAACCTGCAAGAAAATCTTGATGAAATAGAACTTGGAGTCACCTGCGGCTTGGAGTCACCTGCGGCTTGGAGTCACCTGCAGTTTGGAGTCACCTGCGGCTTCTTCAGACTGAACGAGGAGAGGATACGAGAAGACTTCCGCAGCTCACTCACCGGCTTCTTCAATCGCAGGATGCGACTTCTTCAGTCCAATGGGAGGGTGGAAATAGTCAAACTGGTAACCTTAGCGTAGTGACTAAACATAAAACTTAAAATAAAAAATTTGACCGATCAAAGCCAGGACGTTTCTCAAAAGACGTCCTCTTTTTGTGAGAAGCTGGGCAAAGCGGTTGCTTATCGGAAAAGCAAGCTTAAGAAAAGCGACGGGAAAAGCGACGCTTTCTCATGCCGGGATGCTTCTTAAAAGCCAGGCGCAAGTTCATCGCTCGCCTGCGCTTTGACGCTTTTGGACGCTTTTTTACGCTTTTAACAAGTTTGCTCAGCACACTTCAAAATGAAAAATGAAAATATAATATTAAAAGGGAACAATCAAGCTTTGAAAACATAAAAGTGCTTACAAAGTATCCATTTCATCCCAGGTCATGGTTTCTAGATCCAAAATGTGCAGGTCATTCAAAAGAGATCTGTTTGCATCTTGTCCTCCAAATATGACTAATGTTGTTCCTGCAACAGTGACTGAATGACCCCCACGAGAAACCTGAAAATCACTTGAAATTTTATTGACATCCAGAGTTATGTGTGGGACCTCCACCGTGACCTTACACTTCTCATTTATTTAAAAATAAAATCAACATGAGATGAAAAGTACGAAGTCCAATTTTAAGAATGATATTTTTAGAGTTTCAGGTACACATAACAAATAAGTAGGATAAATAGACAAAAAAACTGTTATTTATAGTTAAATATCTCACAAGAAACCAACTCAGCTTTTCAAACAATTGGTGTATTATTCCTTCAGTTAAACAGAGACACATATATAGAGAGTACTCTTCACGCAAAAAGGCTTTTCATTTTTTTAAATCACGGAATCTTAAGCAGAACATGATAAATAAGGACAAGATTTTTTTAAAAGCAAACAATTAAATACCGGTGGCTTTCCATATGTCTTCAAAGTTGACCAAGCATGTGATTGCAAATCAAACACCTTAACTGGCATTGGGGGAGAAGTGTTAATTAGTAAAAAGAAGTTAAAAGTAAACTATGATATTTGATAGCAAGATCATCAAAAGCTGCAGGAAAATACTGCCCTTGAAAAATGCATAACAAAGAAACCAGTAGAAGTTGCCTAAAATGGCCAATATTTGGCTGTTGCAAACATAAGCATGCAAGGTGATTTCTATAGATTTGGCATCAGTATCTGAAGGAAAGGTCCAAGCAGTAGGGGAACCAAAATACTTTTTGAGGAGTGCTCGTTAAGTCGTTACAAATGTATCTCTCTTCTAACTTCTATGTACTGAGTTCATAATAAAGTGATGATCAAAATAAAGATACATGAGTCTGGATATGTTGATAATTATAAATCTGTTCACACTTGAAAACCAAAACTAGCTAGGAAAAGAAATAAACAGTGATGATGTGTCCTGACTCCTGAGAATCTGCATGTATTGAAAATGTTGCAAAATTTGTTCATTTTCAGTCGTCTACAGAAAATTATTATGGATGTACCGATGTACACTACAAGAGCATCCTTCATCCACTCATTTATGTGCACATATTCTACACATTTTTAGTCTTCTATTATTGGGTTTTTAGTACCAATTGCCAAATGAGAATATTCTGAGCATTTAAAGGATATTTTCCATGATATTGTGATATTATAATCCAATGCACATTTCATGTCACATATAGATAATATGGACAGGTTTGAGCTCAACGACAAAGCAGAAAGTGAATATTTTAATTTGAAATACGTTCGAGAAAATTTGGAAACACTCTTAAGGTCTTGAGCATTATGAATTCACTTCGAGGGCTAAAGTAAAACAGTAAGGAACAGAAGTGTTTAATAGGAGAGGAGTTTCAAACTCAGGACATAAGGTAGAATAATCAACACACCAACCACTTCATTACTTGCAACTTTGTTCCGAAGTAGTTTGAAGGGTAATTTCACCTTTTTAGAGTGGAAAAGGGGGTAGCTGGGGCATTATGTGAATTAAGAACTTTCGACTTAAGGTAGTAACAAACAACTTGTCAGCCACTTAGCTCACTAGATCCTTTGTAGCTAGTGTGGCAAATAACACTGAACAATTCTAATTGGAGGTCTAGGGATGCTGCCCATATACATTAATATGACCATACATACAGTCACAGACAAACACACACACACTTTGAGTTGGCTGAGAAAGCTAGGTGCTGGGCAGCCAGCGCTGGCTTGCCCCTTAGACCCGCCAATGGGTCCATGACCGACGACCGTGCAGGGTTCAAGCAAAGACAACATACAAACCATTCCCTGTTTCTCAGCGAGGTTGTTTACAAGACAAACAGAAAGGCATTCCACATGTGAACACCTAACGAGTACACAAACCAAAGTTTCGACCTAATCTGCATAGGTCAGACCCTGCCAACATAATCTCTTTCCTCTAGATGGCTAGATCAATAGCCAAATACTTGATACGTAGTATATTTCTCTTCTCTTAGCTCATGAGGTACACTACTGGGGTAGATAATATCAATACCAGAAACCTCAAAAAAAGGAAAGAGACTACTAAAATGAACAGAAAACAAAAAAAACACAGAGATTGAAAATAGCCACGTAATAAAAAATGGGAAAAACTTGTAGGGATGGATAAAAGATGGAACATGTTGTTTGGTGTGGGGATACACATATACAATAGATTGTATGGGGAAATCAGATGAGGAGGTGTGTTGCTAGGATAGAAGCACAACATAAGTTGGCAATTTCGAAACTTTTCAAACTGTTCATGAGACTGTTAAAAAACCTTTGTCCTATAATGTTCTCCCCGTTTTCCTTTTTGGACATCCTAAAATTTCCTTCTCATTTCCTTTTAAGGAAGGAAATGTATGCTTTATATTTTTTCCTCCCTTTTCAAAATAAACCACAACCACAAAATTTCACTTTCTTAACAAGTGTCAACTCACTATCATGTCAAAGTGAGGACTGAGAAGAAAAATTTAGGATAGAGGGAGTAAAAAATCAAACTATAGTTCAACAGGCTCAAGTTAGCCATGGAAGTATGGAGCGTGGGACCGTGGGTTATAACGCATGAGTAAAAATGAGTTATTTGAGTAGGTGAGTAGGTCAGTTCATTTCACTCCACAGTAAGGATTTAACTACTTCTATAAACCCCCTTTTTGAAAAGGTTTGAATTTAGAAAGATATGTGATAGAGTATATGGGCCCAGACCCCATGGCCCACATACTCAGAAGACTAAATACAAAGACAGTTGGAACCCACGTGGTTCTCCATCGGCCAGATGGCCCTCCGTCACCGAACACCTATCAACTCAGAATATGGTCTAGAGCCCAGGAGCAGAACTTGGTCCTCCGTCGGTCAGGCCCTTCATCGGCCAGGTCCTCCTTCGGTCAACCAGACTCGAGCAGAACTAGATCTAATACTTAGTCTCATAAATCATGTATTCAGCCATTAGAGACCTTATTATTGTACTAGGCCTCCCATGCCCAAGACCTGGGAGCCCAAACCCACATTTTCCCTAGAAATACTCCCATAGGGGGTAGTTGTAGGGAGTTGAGAAATACGAAGTATTAATTACTCACTTTCTCTCTCTAGCTCTCACTTCTCTCTAAGATTAATACTCTATCAATGTGAATATCATAAAACAATAGTATACGGAGTATGATGTTTGGAATTAATAAAAAGTTAATATTGACCACATTAAATTCCATGTAATCAATCAGAAGTCAATCAACCCCTACACTGTAGTATAAAATTGGCATGCCCAACAAGTTGAAAGATGGATGGTTTAAAGTGTAAAATCAACAAACTGCCAACCTCTAAAGCATAGGCTTGCTGGGAGAATGATTATAGGAGACGAGAGCAACTAGGAGAGTAGGAAAATAAAATAATCTATAAAAATTTGATATTGCATTAAGCCATCAATGTGGTTTTGATATAAAGCAGCAGGAGCAAGGAGATGGGTCGGAAAAAGGGGGTCCAAGACCGAAGCCCCTGCTGGTCTACCAAAGGCGGGGACGGGGCTGAGTCCACTTCCGTGGGCTGGGTTATACATGGGCTGGGTTATTTATTTTAATTAGCTTCATTTATGTTGTTTATTTTATTATTACTTCTTATTATTTTAGAATTTCCCTTAGTCCTGGTACGCAGGTTCTTTAGACTGGGTACGCAAGTCTTTGCTTTCCACTGGGACTTCGACTATTAGGTTACGTACATTTAATTAGTCGGGTAGTTTCCTAGGAGGACTGGAACGAGAGGAGTATTATATATGTACCCTGCGCAGGCTTATGCGATTATCGAAAATAATATATTGAAAGTTATTAGCTAAATAGCTTGGGCAACGGATTAACTGTTGATTGTTATTTTTCAGTGCCAACAGGTTTTTTCATTAAGAATAAAAAACCGTCAAAGACCACAATGTCCCATGTCCATAATAGCTTGAAGCTGGTAAAACCGTAGAATGTACACACTGTCACAAACTCACAATGTTGGGGGGGATTTATTAGGTACAGCCTCTTATGTGAAGGCGTGAACCTGAGCCTTAAGAGCTAGAACTCCGATAAAAAGATAGTGATAGATGGGAATTACTCACAAAAATCTCTTAGTTGGGAGATGAATAATACAATTATTTGTGTTTCACTATTGTGTTTCACAAGGCATCAGTGTTCTCAGACCTCAGTACATTTGTGATTAGTATACATGAGCTGTAATATCGAAAAGATTCAGCAATCTTCTAAAAGAAGCGGGATATGTTTTGTACATTGTAGAGAAATATGCATACCTTGCAAAGTTTCAGAGTGATCCTTTGTATGCCCACCAACTGAAAGCAGCTTATTTCCCTCCCAAGGAATCTACAATACAATAGGGTAGATAAATATGCCAACTGTGAAACATCATTAGAATATTAAGGTTATCCCACGTTAAACTACTGCATGAGTGGATCACCTAAGAGAGTATAGGAAACATATATAGCTTTATACTGACCAGGGAGTGACCTGCACAAGGACGTAATGGAGAAGGAGCCTCGCTTGGTGCTTTAACATCAATTCTTGACCATGTCCAACTTTTCAAATCAAGAGCCTACATCAAAAGTTTTATGTGGTATTTCTCAATAGTCAGTAAATAACCAAGGGTGTCTTAAATCTGTTCTACAGTATTCTGTTAACTGATTTGAAAACCGCATTTGCAATCACTTCACAAAGCCATTCTCCCACCATAGTACTCTAGTAGTTTAATATTTGTCATTATTGACAGTGGGTGGTGAGCTTGGTGATAGGGGAGGTCACTGTGGCCAGCGAAAACGCCGAAAAGTGTGGTAGGCAGCGGTGGCAGGAGTTGCGCTGAGAGGCAGGTGTTGCCGACTGTGGTGGTGGCAACATTCGCTGGCGGTGGTGACAGAGTGGACAACAGTGACTGCTCTGGAGCGGTGAGCAGGTGGCAAAGGTCACCAATGGTGGATGGGGTTGCCAGCACTGGAGGCGGCAGTCTGGCCAGTAGTGACGCATGTGGTGGCTTTTTATCACAAGTAATTAGTAATAAGCTTGGTAAGAAGTTTTCTATTTTCGAACACACAAAAACTAGTTTCGAAATTTGAGAGAAATGAAAACATTGGGGAACACTTTTCAGTATTCTAAGGTGTGCAAATTCCTAACGAAAATACAAAATATGTTGGTCCTATTATACCACTTCTAATGTGTTTAAAATAATTTCAGTATTCTAAAGTGTGCAAATTCCTAACGAAAGTTTATCATAATTTTACATGTCAATAATGTCAACTACATTTCATAAATCCCACTAATGTTTTCTTTTGTGAGTTCAACCTTACTACCATTTTGGAGTACTTCTAAAATAGTTTCATTGTGTCACTGTGTGGTTCCTTTTCAAAGAAACGTTTACTTATGTAGTAAAATACATTACACTTCAATGACTTTGTCTGACTTTATTAACATTCATGCTAAAGCTAAAGTATTTCATATGTTGAGGTACATGAATCACAATTCACAATAATTGGTTTATGCAATAAGCCAATAACCAAATGGTCCATGTGCAGCACACGTGTTCTCTACTTGAAAAAGAAAGACTGTGATTAAGAGTATGCACAAAAACAAATCTTTGAGATTATCAAAGGTCATATAAAAACTTGAAGGCCTTCAAAACATTACTAGTTTGTCGTTTTTTAAAGTTGATAATTAGAGCGGGGATATTTTCCAGTCACCGAATATAGCCCTAGTTGTCCAAGATATGAAAGAGAGGAGGAAAATAGAGGTGTGGCTTTTCACTGTTCGTTAGAGGAACAATAAAGAAGGAAGGCTAGAAGACAACACACAAAATTATAATGCAGAGAGCCAGAGACTCTAAGAAGCAAGTGTGATAGGAATAGACTGTTGATGTCTAGGAATGGAGATGGGGAGAGCCACCGCAGTTGCTGAGGTAACAGGTTGAACTGTTGAAGTACAAAAGAAACTCATAATGTTGTGGTTCATAGTAAGATGTGCCGCACGTTTCTGGAGTTAAAGAACTATCAAACCAATGAGAGCACCTAAACTATGTGCCAGATAGAGTTTTTCGGAAGTTTATCAGCAGTCTAAATTTTAATTATTAAAATAGTTTATCAAATTACAATAAATTATTAAGGAATAATGGATAAGAAAAAAATGGCTGGACTAATAAACAGTACATGGGGCCGTGGGAGTAGCTTATGGCCTTATGACATATAGATGCTCTCACTCCAATTTATAAAATTTTATAATTACTATCAAAATAAACCTAAGCACGTAATTATCATACCTGGAGATCACTAAGGTAACGCCCATTATGGTTACCACCAAATATATACATCTTATCATCAATGACAGCTGCTCCATGCTGAAAAAATACAGTAAATATATTTTCTTGAAATGCGAACTGGGTGAGGAGATGATTAGAAAGAGATTCATCGATTGCATAGACAAGAAATAGAAGTGTAAAACGAAAGTACCTCATATCTTGGTTTTGGGCGTGAACCAGATACCTGAGGTACAACCCATTGATCATACACACTAACTGCACCTGAGCCTTCTGACACGACATTTTTGTCCTGAGTGTCTAGCAAGTTGCCATTTTCAACAGGAATCGCTTTAATCTCAGGGAGAATATTTCCATTTTCATCAACTTGTTCAATATTTGGATTGTGCTACAACAAAGAGATAAAATAGACAGCGAAAAGAAGAAACATTAAATACAAGGGACAGATATTGCCAATAAAATATTTAGAACCTTGCACAAAAGGCACATTCTAGGCTCGTCTTTAAAGTGTTAAAAACTTCAAGTAGATCAGCCTGGTTGGAATAAATCAATAATATTTGCATTTAAAAAAACATGTTCTTATTTGATTTAATGATGCAACTGACAAAAAAGTAAATCTCTAGAATATGTAGGCCAAAGCACTTCAAAGTTACAATAAATAAACAAGATAGAAGAGATCAAGTGACGAGGTACCCAAAACTATTCAGAATAGAATAAACACAACAAAAATGAAAAAAAATGGAAGAACATGAAGACAACTCTAACACACTTACGTTCATTTTTACAGCTTCAACTGCTTCTGAAGCAAAATTGGATGCCCTGGAGTACCACCCTGGCTCTTCCTCCTATTCATAGAAATAAAATATAAGCTGCTCAATTTTTTTTAATATAATGCTAGTCACGAGAGAGCAAAACACCGACCTCCAATATTTTCACAAACAGACGCATTGCTTCTGCAGTAGCCATATTCCCAAGCCCATTCCAGCTTCAAAAGTATGAGAAGATTTAGATAGGAAACTGATGAAAGTGGTAGTCTACTAATATCTAAAACGTATCAAATTATATTATACACAATGGAGATAGTGACTTTAAATACTGCTGCAAAAATACTCCATGTTATAAACCCTAGGAAACAGTGAAAGAGCCCAGTGCCACTGGATACACTCCAAACATGTTATAATTCAAATAACTGGAACAAACAAATTGTGGCAAACTTCAATATACAGCAGTTAGATAAGAATATATGCAAAGGGCGGCCATCTTCTGACTCAGAATCTAATCCAGTTTACTAGTCACTTAGTGTAATTCCATGGCATGCGAGTTTTTTCTAAACTACCAAAATGATGCAGGGGAAATTCTCGATAAGCCGTCCATAACACATAACAAGCACAATACTTAAAAGGAACTGCATTGAGAAGAAAATATCCAAGGAGTTGAACTGCAGAACTAAATCATATTCAAAAAGTAGTTATTTACACCAACCTTGTCCATTTGCTTTGCTCCACTGGACTCCAGGCTCTAGGCTTAGGAATATTACAAGGCCCGATGGTAGCCTGCAACCCAAATAGAATACCCAAAAAGGAAAATTATTAGTGGTACAAGGGCCCATAGTAATCCTAATTTATTAATGTACATCACCATTCACATACACTTATGACTTACCCCGATGAATAAATCATCTATCACCTAATTCTTAAGAGCCTACTCACTCTAACTAACAAAAGGTATAGCAAAGTATCAGACTGTGTCAGTTTGTCTACTCCTTGCAGCTTGCCTAAGCTAACTGAGTGCACCGCAGGACCATTGCATGCTGCATTGCAATAAAATCCATACTCATTCAGTCATTTGTTTCATGCTGACACAGCTTGATGACTTGATTTGCTATACTGTATAAGTGACAGTAAATCAGTAATGAACTATGCTATATAAATGTAAGGAATGACAGTCGTCCACTCTGATCACAAAAAGATTTTAAAACTCAAAAGTTCAATTCTTTCCCAACCCACTACAATACATCATAAATAATTCAGTAAATTCACGCTAAATTGCTAAAACTAGAATAAAAAACTTGGGCTACACTAACTAGTTAGATACTGGGACACTATGTATTCAGAATGGGTTTCCATTGTATTAAGACATCAGTCAGCTACTTAATGCAAGAGTTGGAGGAAGTATGACTGTATGAGGCTGTATGAGGCGACGAGTCTTTGTAGATGGCTAATCCCATTTTCATTTGTCAATACCATTTACTGGTATCGAATATGTTGAATTCGAAGCAAGTATTTGTACTAGTTATATTGGTTCGGGTCTTTTTTACCTGCCCTTTTCTCTTCACAGATGGTCATGCATCATAAGAACTTGAAAGTCCAACAGTAGATTAGCAAATAAGAAATCTCTGGCGCAGATTGGAAAATAAAATAAATGCGAACCTAGATCTACGTAAATGATAGTAAAACTGAATGTCAGTCATGCATCCCAACAAAAGTCTTACAAATCGTTGCCTATTCGAGAAAATAGGTCGTAAATCACACAATGCAACATTAGATCACGGCGTCAAATCAACAAAATGTCACTAGACATGTTGATAGGAATGAAGCTGCAGATGAGTACAGAAGATGTGCATAATTAGAGAAACAGAAATGAAGAAGAATAGGGCGCACCTGCTGATAGAGTGCGTAGAGCAAGAGAGAGGCGTCGTTTGAGAACATGGAGGTGACGGCTCTACCAGAACCAGCTGATCCATCAAAACCTACGTAAGCTGCCGCCGCATAGAACCTGTCCGGGTACGCAAGGCCAGAACTTGCCCGCGTCATCGCTGCCATTGACGGCTACCCCTTCTCTCTCTAATTCTACGTTTCAGACAAAATGCCTATTGATAAGATCCGTAATGGAGAATCTCAGGCGGATGTAGATTTCCGCGGAACAGGTGAGCATGTAGAAGATGAGCAATTTATTGTCGGAAGTACAATGATGATGCATTAATGTACAATTAGAGAAGCTGCATTAGCTCCATTGGACAATTGGAGCTGTTTACCATATAACACTTGTACGACTTACACTTTACAGGAGATTAAAGAGTACATCATTTTGCAAGTGTGTTTGAGAGGTACATGAAATCGCTAAATCAGTGTTAATTGAGTCTATCTGTGTATTAGAACATTTAAACGCCTAGGTGGCAAACAGATTAGGGATAGGGTAAAATAAAAGCCACCTCATCATCCCTGTTGCAAAACATTCGGCCCCCATCCATACCCTGGAACTGACCAGCCAACCAAACCTTCCATCTACTACTACCAGGCATAGAGGCGAGACGGAGTCGTCACTCGGCCAGAGGGGGTGTGCCGCCGCCGCGGGTGTCGTCGTAGGAGTGAGAGGCGAAGAACAAGTCACTGGCCCCTTCTGCCGTCCAACCTTGCCGGTCCATGTGTATGGACTTCGTTCGCTCGTATCACTGGGCGGTCTTCTAAATCACAGAGGCTGCATCGGACTTCCGTCGGCTTGGCTGGGGATTCACGATCCGGTCGACGGGATGCTGCACTTCCAGCCTTGGAACCCATCTCTGCCCAGAGCTGGCCGCCGGCCTGGGAAGCCATCTCCACCTGGAAGCCGCCGACATCGCCTGGATCTGTCTCCTTCTTGAAGCCGCCGCTGCCTGGAACATATCGCCGCCTGGAAGCCATCATCCACTGGGGCCGCCGCGACCTGAGGCCGACCTATTGCTCACCGGACAAGGAAGGTGCCAGCCTTGAGAGACGTCAGCCTGATGCCGACCTCGAGGTTGCCGTCGCCCCGCACCTGCGTAGGAGTGACGACCTGGAGTAGCGCTGGCCGGGGACCGTCGACGAACCACAATCAGAGCCGGCAACCTACGAAGGAGATCCGCCTGACCTGGAGCTTGTCAGTCAACATGAGGATCGTCGGTCAACCATAGGCATGCGGCTCCAGGGTTGCACTCCAAACGGACGGTATGCGGCTCAACCATAAGTATGCCCTATCACTAATCCGTTTGCCACCTAGGCGTTTTAAGTGTTCTAATACACAGATGGACTCAATTAGCACTGATTTAGCTATTTCATGTACCTCTCAAACACACTTGCAAAATGATGTACTCTTTACTCCTCTGCTTACAATTTGATGTACTAAATCGACACATTTCTCCACTTTATAGTCTGACATTTTGGTAATTTCAATGAAATTCGCTATTTTGTTCCATGATCATGAATGCTTGTAATGAGCATTAGATCTATTATACTGGACAACTCAATGAGCATGAATGCACTTGTAATGAGCATTAAATCTACTATATTGAATATTGAGTATAATAATGAGTATCGTGTTATCAGCTCCATATCTCATGATTCACTTTATTTTTCTTGTTTTAAAACATCTACAATGAACTCATATGAATCTAATATATAAATTTGATGTAATATTATACTTTTGAAATATACATGAATATAACATTTTAAAATGAGTTTACACCAATACTGAATGAGCATACATGAATTATGAAATGAGCATCGAACAATTCAAAAAGGCTCATTTAAATCTCTACTATGCTCAACTTTTCATTTGTGTATACTCATATCAGTACCAAGGATTTCTCACAACATGTAGAATGTTCAATATCAAATTGAAACAAAAATCCCGAAATAGAGAAATCATTTCCATGGGAGTGATCGTCATCCAAGCACGAAGTGAGAAGATTCATCTCAGATATATCAATTTTACATGGAATAACCTCAATCGAATGAGGAAGCGGTCCAGCTCAGCTGGTAGCCGACTCACTATCCCTTATGGGATGTCTCAGGTTCGAAACTCAATGGAGTGAGTTTCAGCCTAGATTACTTCAGGCTCCCTAGCCCCCCTCCCCCAGACTCCCCTGGAGTAAAAAAAATGAAAAACGTTTTTAAAAAAACCTCAATCAAATCATGTGGAGTTTCCAAAGATGTCGCATCAAAATCCTTCATCAATTTAGAGGCTCTTGTAATCCCTGCCAGAAACCATTTAAATCCTAGTGTGTCACATCCTTCGGGAATGAATAAGGATTCGCCACCCTTTTTTATAATGCGAAAGAAGCCACCAAAGAAGTTATCATCATACAAAATGAGCACAAATTTTTTTCAACTCAAGCCTATTGCATGACCAATTATCAAAGAGAAGCTTGAGAATGGAACTTTTCAGCCAATTTACCATTTCCACATCAAGGTCAACCGAAGATGTAAATCCATTTTTTGATTCACACATACGAATAGAATTGTAAGAAATATAGAAATGGAACTTTTTGCTTTCAATATTTACTTCAAAACTATTTGTGTGAGGTAAAACTGTATGTGCAATTTTACCAGACCCATCACTCTGGTTCCTGTGAATATAGTCCCGGTGAAAGTTCCTCCGATGTTGACTTGCTGACTTTTGTCGATGTCCACTGTCCCATGCTCGCAAGTGTGCACCAGATGCCCATTGAATTGTTGACGTTTACGAAAATGGGACTAAGGATTTCTAGTACTCTCGGTTCTTTACCAATACTCTCTGTATTGCCAATCCTTTTTGCCGTACTTTACAAGTACTCTCGGTAACGCCTACGATTACATTAATTTTTCATTTTTGTTCAATTGTGCCCAATCAAACATTAAAACTGTTCATCTTGCCCAACATGAAACCTGCTCGAAAGACTGGCCCATTACCATTGTCGTCGTCTTCTTTCCCGTTGACGGCCAACCAAAATTGGACACCAAAATTTCCCTAAACATAAACACCTACTCGAAAAAGCCACCCCTTCAATTTGATAGAAGAAAACGAAAGGGCACAATACAATTGGCAATGAAAAGCTCAGGCTTGAACTAGTGGACGAACCAATCAAGCATCTCGATGGAGACATCTATCTATATGCGCGGCGAAGCAAATAATAGGAAACACCCAAGGAACGAACCAGATGAATGTCGACGGTCAAGTTGGGAGCAACGAAGACGGCGACGAAGGTTGGCTGTTGTGAGCCAAGAAAACGAACACGGTAGAAGAAGGAAGGGAAGGTGGATATGTGTCACTGGTGGCCGACGATGTAGAGGGACGAGGACAAAGACAGGAAGTTGTTGTCGTTCAAGAAATAAAGGAAAAAGAAAAAAGAAAAGGTGAAAGTCTCAGAGAGATAAACTAAAGATAAAAAACATATATTAAAAAGCTACATGGAATATCCAGCTAGGCTGTTAACTGGGAAATTCGTTTGTTACCTAATAAACAGCTTAATTGGGTGTTTTATAAGAGTTTGAGGATTTAATTGACTAATTTTAAAGTACGAAGACCTAATTGACTTTTTGTCTATATTACGGGGATCAATTTGACAGTTTTCCCTAAACCAAAGACTATCAATAATATTAGGATTAGTGCTTAAACAAAACCGAACCAAACAATTCAACTATGGTCTGGTTCAGTTTTTCAAATTCGGTTTTGATTTTCTTGCGGTTCAGTTTAGCTTGGTTGTGGTTCGGTTTATTTTGATTCGTTTTTTTTTCGGACCCAGACCTATTAATGGTGTAACAAAGAATCTACTCAATCTAGTTAGGCTAAATCAAACAAATAGTTAGTCAGGTGCTACTTCCATCCCCGTAAAGTTTACACCATGATATTTTTATTAGTATAATATTATTGGAGTTGTAAATTTTATACTTATATAGTTATATGTAAGTACTTTTAATAAAGAATATTATATTTTTCATATCAATTTTATATTATAATAATTTCAATAAAAATATATAGTTCATCAAAGTTTCAAATATGAAACAAATTTAAGGGATAGAGGGGAGTTTCAATTATTTCTCCAAATGACACAAACTCATGACCCAATTCAAGAATAAAGAATCAAAAATGCAACAAAGTCAAAGCAGGCAACGTCTTGCTGAAAAATTGACTTGCAATATGCATTCTACTTCAGAGAGCTGTTTAACAAATGTGTTACAGATCTAATTGGGATCGAAAACGATGAACTCAAGGAAGGGAACATTATAGCAAAGCTCCAACAGAGCTACCCAAGGCGATAAGAAGAACATAAACTCTTCCACCAACAAATGAGAAACATTGGGAAAACATTCTGATTACAACCCCCTTCCAAGAGGAAATCGGAAAGAATATATGGAGAAGACCTGAGAAGATCAAGAAGTTTGATGAACTCAAAGTCTGAAGCCTTACCCATCTGAAAGGAAGGCAAGTTGGTGGACATCTTCACATGCTCAACAACAGATATATGTGTCGACATCTTGAAATCCTTTAACATGATTTGAAAAGTAGCAAGTCCCCCATCTGGGACATTCTGGATGTGTCTGAAGGAGATCACAACGGAATCAAATTCTCTATCTACAGGATTCAACGTAATGGTGGAACGGAATTTACGTGTCAGAGAACAACTTCTTCATGCTCAAAATGGATGACACCTACCAAATATCAATGGTCTACAGGAAATTCCCCACCAGGAAAAGCAAAGTTCTCAAAGATGGATACAACGTGATCAAAAGATTCATGTTCAGACAAGTTCGAGTTCATGTTACTCTATCATGATCTTCAGATGGCCCTTGAAAACAACGTTCCAAAGGCAAACCGGCCTCACAAGGCCAAGTCTATCCGAACTAGAGCTCAAGAAGTACCCACCTCTCTATATTTTCGATGATCATGTCGAGATAGTCTACCTCAATCATGAAGAGAAGAAGTGCCTAATGCTGCTTGGAGAGATAGCCAAATTCTGTGATGGGACAGTGAAGATCATCTGAGATAAACTGCTTTCGAAAAAGGATGAGATCGAACGAAGACTTATTGATGCTACTGAAGAAGTTACAAAACACAAGAGAATAATCAAGGTGCTAGATGCAATAAATGAACGACTCGAGAAACGAAGATCGTTGCACCACTACAAACATGATCTAACACTGATGAGAAACTACTTCAAGAGGCAGAAACAAATAAGAGCTTAAATGAGGACATCTGACCATAAAGGGGGAGAATGTATGTTAATGATATTTTATTGTGATCGATGTATTAATTATTAG